TATATATAAATGAAGAAAGAGGAAAATAAACAATGGCAAAGTAACTGACAATATTCACTCAATAGTTCTGCTAATTGTAGGGTAATATTGGATTTGAAGATGATGTTAAAGGACTTTGACAACTTTCAACATGAAAGGCAAACATTTTGGGTAAATCCAGAGGTGGCCTGTGAGCTCTGACTCTGCTGCCTACTAGCTGGCAGATTCAGTAAACTATGAAATGGAGACCATATGGGACAACCTAACACCATTTGTGCAGTACAATAGATGATCAATAAATGTTGAGGGCATTAATAGTTCTAAGCCCCCATTAACTCAGAATTTATACCTCAGAAATGCTTCAGAGTGCTCTCTAACCTTGATGTTGAGGGCTGGGATCCACCACAAGATTGAGAGGTTTTTGACAGCATAATTACAGTAACTGCCAACTCTTGAACTGCTCCTCTCCTTCATCTTCTGTATCCCCTCCACTTATGGTACAGCATCTGGTATACAGTAGCCACTCAATAAATTTTTGCAGAACTAGGCATGTAAACTGAACTTCTTAACTCATTCTTAAGAAACACGAATCTTCTAGGGAAGACAGGCATTATAAACTTCACCTGAGGAAACTCATCAGAAGGAAGAGTTACAGAAGGTGGTCCAGGCTTCAAGAAGGATCCTCTGGGAAAAGGAGAGGGCTTGGAGAATTTCCCTCCAAAAGATGTTTTCGTTTTCTTATTCACCCAAGGGCCTGAGTGCACTAGTTTGTTGAATCAAAAAATGTCAGCATAAATAATTTAGAAATCATCCTCAGGCCCAGAAATCATCCTCAGGCCCGCAGAGGGTATGTGGCTTAAAATCAAATCAAAAACAAAAGAACTAGGACTAGGAGCCCATAGTAGACTCCTTGTTTACTGCTTTTTTCCACAACAATATAAGAGCTTATAAAAAGGTATTATGAGTGCGGTTTTTAATGTGTTTGGACAAAAAGAAATGGAAGGGATAGGCTATTCCCAAGGGAAGAAGGTATAGTGTTGATAGGTAAGAGTCTTATTTCAGATTATCCTTCTCCATCAAAGAAACTGATCCTCAGTACTGATAAAAGTGTAGTCCAAAACAGTTGGCAGGTAATTAAGTTTAAAGATAGGTGAGAGGATAGAATGCCTAATCAGTTTAATTGAATGCAAGCTCCAGACTCCAGACTCCGAGACATTCCTCTTCAGACTACTGAGAGAGTTTGCAGCTGTTGTAGATCTCCCTGGGGAAGAGTGTTGCTAACTACTTTAAAGGAAGGGTTAACTAGCTACGTGAGGTTGACAATTATTGCAAGCCTTTCTGCATCCATATTCAGCAGTTCTCAGCTACCATGTGATTTGGACTCCACTTGAGATAGTTACTTCCTTTATAGAATCAGAACTGTTAAAGATTGAAACAGAATACAATGAAGCCTTGAAACCAACAAAATAAGATTTAAGAGAGCAATTGAAAAGTACTCTATTTAGCTTTTTAAAAACAATCTGTAAATACAAAACAGAGGAGATGTGGATTAAGAATAATTCATTTTCAAAAGGCTCAGAAAACTTAGTGGACTCCAAGCTTGCATTTTTGTGTGATGCAGCAAACAAAATGGCTAAGGAAATCTTTAAAGCATTAATAAAGGCAAAGGGTTCAAAGTAAACAGAGCATGGGCTTTCTGACTCTTCTGCCAGGCAGACATCCTCTGTAGTATTGTATTCCATCTCTGTTGGTGTCCCGAGAAGGATAAATAATACATGATCTAGAAGTCATGTCAGGTGAGTGTAATAGACTTGGGAATGTTCATTTTGTAGGGCTGTTCAATTTTGTGACTAAACTGTAAAGGAGGCAGTCATTTTCTGTGTCAGTTTATAAAATAGAGCTAAGATGAATTAGATGAAAGCAAACTTATCTAACATAGGAAAAAGAAAACTAGCATTGGTTGAATGCCCATCACCTGTCCCTACTTGTGCCAGTATTTTGCATTATTTTATTAAATATTTTCAGAAACTGTTGGATATTTTTAGGATAGTGTGCTTCCAGGCACTGGAAGTCATTTCTCTAGCTCAGGACTATTCATTTTGAGCAGTGTGATCCCTTTTCTGCTTCCAAGTCTCAGGAATGCTCTCCAGGCCCTTCTGGAACCAGCTTCCCACATGTAGACAGGTTGTCTGGGGGCAGCACAGGCCCCAGTGTTTTGGAAAAATGGGTTTCCCACACAAGTTTCAAGGTTCCAAATTCCTCCAGAAGGGCTGACTGTGAAAGAGGCCACCTAATCCATATTTTCCCCAGCTGCCATTTCCAGCCTGTCTTGAACATTGGGATGGAGGGCTATGTCTATGGGAAAGACTGAGTGTGTTAGGGAATGTAGGAGCTTTGAATTTGTGAGGGATACATGACAGCAGATGGGGCTGGCCAGGGGATCCCCCGTGAACACATTTTCTGGCCAGTAACAGCCATTCCCTTCACATTCATCTGTAGCCTTAGAGTCAGTTTAGCAGAAACCCTTCTGCAAGAGGGATGCTCTGGTCACTGAACAGTATGCATCCTTCAGGGTCCTGTCCTGGATGAAACCAGAACTCAACTCAGGATTCCAATAAAGAGATGTTTTCTGGCTCCACCGTTAGCCCACACCCCTTTCACAGGCATGATGCCTTCTAATCCTACCCACTAATATTGTCCCTGCTCTAGACTGGGAATTTGAAGCAGGAAGTAATTTGAGTAATTTGCTGAGTGCTACAACTCACGGTGGAGCCAAAGCTGGAACTCAACCCCTCTGAGCCCATTTGGCTTTGTCCCTGGGATGGTGCCTGCTGGAAGAGGACAGCAGCAAGCTGACACCTTTTTCTGAGAGGCTCTAGGCTTCTCCTCATCATCTTGGTCACCTCTCCCCCTGGAAGTCCCCAGCTTTCTGTATCTAAAATGGGAGGGGTGGGCATTAGATCTTAGATCTCAGATGTTTGTTTCTTGCTCCATATTACCAAAGAAAATCACCAGTTTTTACAAAAAAAAAAATTACAAAAAAAGACTATTACAGAGATGTGAACAGGAAATCACAAAGGAATTCAAGGCACCAGGCACCTTGCAACCTCAAGGCCATGTGCTTGCTCTCTCTACCATATTGGCTCCCCTTGGCATCTATACAGCTCCTTCAACACATTCAGGTCTTCTTTATAATGCCACCTGGTCAGCAAGCAGTAACTGCTCCTCCTCAGCACTCCCTCCTCCCCCACTGACTTTGTTATACCATTTAACAGCATCAAATATTTGTAGATTCAATTGTTTATTGTCTACCTCTAACCACAGTGTAGGCACAGTTTTGTCTGTTTTATTCATTGCCATAATCCCAACACCGAGAATACTAACCCAAGGAAGATGATCAATAAATATTTTTTGAATGAATGAATGAGCACTGATTGGAATTATTAGAAGGTGTAGAGAGAATTTCCCAGGACTGATACCTAATCCATCTTTCCTAATTCAAATTGCTAACCACTCCTTTGGTGAAACCTGCTGAAATGCAGAGAGCTTTCATTTGGCCACAAGAGGGTGGTGTTGATTTTATTTTTATTGTGTGGGAGCTTTGTTCTTAACTACTCTGTTTTCTTCCTCCTTAGACCCCAGAGAGAAAATCTGGGACAAAGCCATGCCTGAAGCCAAAGCAAACATGTAGTGTCTCTTCTACTCTGATGTTGTCCCAGGGAAATTCAGTTAAAACTGTATCAAGAATGATCCCTACAAAAGCAAAGGTCACTTGACATACGAAAGGCCTAGGAAGAAGGAGCTGCCCAAGAAGGTGCCTCCACCAATTTAGCTTCTGTAACCATGGAGACACCAACAGCTGACCAGATGACCCTGTATTCTGTGCCACATATACCTGCCTTCCTTCTGTACTAGCAATATCCTGCCAGCTGTCCTGCAAAATGTGAGCCCTCACAATAGAGTCTAGGCTCATGGTTCCAAGTGTCACCCTCCAGATACAAATTATCCAAGGAATCACTCACTGTTTTACTAAATCTTACTTTGCAAAGACATCACGTTAAGGGGCTATGTGAGATGTTGCATAAATTAAGGAACATTATTCCCAAAGTCAAGGCACATAATTATAATACCATAAGGCAGAAGACAACATGATGGAAAGTCCAGAGAATGTGCTAGGAGCATTCAGAAGTGAGAAGGAGGGAGCAGAGGAGTTTATGGGAAGGGTGACATTTGAATTGGAATTTGAATGATAACAAGGTATTTGGCTATATCTAAAGTAGCAGTCCCCAACCTTTTTGGCATCAGAGACTGATTTTGTGGAAGACAATTTTTCCAAAGACAGGGGTGGGGTGAGGTGGGGTGGGTTAGAGTAGTTTGTGGATGATATAAAGAAGCAGGCAATGTAGATGTGTGCAGTTGTCAGGGTTTGCACTCCTGTGAGAATCTTCTGTCCCTGCTGATTTGACAGGAGGTGGGGCTCAGGCAGGAAGGAGAGTGGTAGTAAGCAACTGTGAAGCCAGAGGAGGCATCCCCTGCCTATTTTCTGCTGCTCGCCTCCTGCTGTGTGGCCTGCTCCCTGACATGTTAGGTACGCCTGATCTAGAGCACTTTCTGATTTTACTCAGTCTTCTATTCACAATTGAAATCAGAGTAATTTTCTCCTCTTTTAAGGAGGAGTGACTACATGTGGGGATGAAAATGGTGTTTCTCAGCCCATCTTACTCCTATAAGATGTAACATAAAATTTAAAACGCTATAGGGAGAAAATGGTACTAAATAGTAAAATAGCAAATGCTTTGTGTCCACCCTAGTAGTTCCTTAATTCAGTACCCCTCATGCACATCTCAAAGGGAATTGAAGGATCTTACAATGAACAGAGGATTTGTTTTTTCCCTTAAAAAAAATAATAAAGCAGGGAATGGAAGTCCTAGGGCAGTTTTTATTATCTTGTCTCAACAGCACAGGGTAGAACCTGAGTGCATAGTTAATGCCCCTGGTTTCACAGACCCAACACAGCAGACTCTGGTCAAACACATTATTTATTTGAAAGAGAAACGCTCCAAAGGGAGAACAAGGAAAATAATTGAAAGAAAAGATCAGATGTGAAGTAGAAGCTCTTGAGTCATAGGTTTCTACTTCCTTCCTGGCCCACACCCCTACACAAGGTCATAGCCTCAATTCCTCTCCTATAGGCCAATGTGAGGCCCACTGGTCACCCCAGACTAGTGTGGAAGAAGGGTGTCTGACTCAAGAGTGAGGAGAGGAGATAAGAAGTCTCTCAGCCTCTTCTGGTTCCTCCTGCTCATCAGCATGGGCAGGGTGTCCACGATAAGGTCTGGGTTTATGTACTGTAGATGGAAAAACAGGCAACCCAGCAGCTCAATGAAGATCAGGGCCATAAAGAAAAGCCACAGGAAAAGCCTGCAAAGAGATACTCATTATTAGCATGAGGGGAAGGGACAGCCCAAGGTCAAGCAGTGGGAGTTGAACCCCATATTCATAAATGGGTAGAGAATTGGTTTCTTCAGACAAAGCAGATGGAACAAAGTAGGATATGGGGGTACAAAGGGCAAGGGTAGGGGGCAGGTCAACACAGAAATAGAATTGTTCTCCAGCAGAATAGAAGTCCATGTAGAAAAGTTGGAGGAGTAAAAGATAATGCATTTCTGAACCTTTGGGGGTTATTAGAAAAAGTTCATAATTGTCACACTTGGGAACCTCATCACCATTAGTTCTCTCCAGTAAGCAGGTTTAGAATTTGAAGAAAGATTTAGCCATCCATTACATTAACATCAAAATGACAAAGGTTGGCCTTTGCTAAATAAACATTAGGTGCTCAATAGACCACAATAAAGTGTGTATGTTTTTATGTGGATCCAAGAAAAAAAATCTACCCTACCAACTGGTTAAAGGCTTTAAGTCTTCAACTTTATGGGAATGTCATAAATGGAAGCTTTTCATAAAAGTATTACATGAAGCATTTCAAAGTTAGTCTCATTTCAAAAATTTAAAAACAAAAGGCCCAGGAAGCTTAAGCATCTTTTTCTCTAATTTCTCAGCCTTCTGTAAAAGAACCAAGAAAACTAATGCACCCTATACTCTTTCTAGGAGAGTATAACAAAGATTACTATGTTTAGGAACTGAGAAGTAGAAAGAGGCCATCCCAAAGATCATAAGAATAAAAATTAAAAGTGAACTTCAAACTGTAGCTTCCATTCTAAACATATCCTAAGTAGCCACTAATCCCCCTAGCTATTTAGATCTTTGTAACTCTGGTGTTCCAACTTTGTGTTGAGAGAGGAAGGAAGGGTTTGGAGAAATCTGGGGCTGCCTGATGTTTTCTATATCACGGATATACTAATTCCTTTAGCCCTTATCAGGTTGCTTGCAGAGTGAGTGTAGCCTGGACTAAGTCAAAACCAAGATTCTGGCACTTACCTAAAAAAAGAGAACCTCTTCTCTTTCTTCATTATAGTCTTCTCCTATGGGAAGTAATAGAAACCAAAGCTGTGGCTGTCCAGGTGCTTACAGAAAGGTAGAATAGCAAGGTGGCTATGAGCAGAAACCCTGGGGCCAGGCTGTCCATGTTTGAATCCTACCTCTGCCACTGCCTAGCTGCAAAGGTCGCAGCAAGACACTGAATCTTATTATTTCCTAATTCTGGGGATATTAAAAAGAAGAAGAGGAAAAAAGGGGACAGAAGAGACCCAAAGAGACCCAGGTAAGACTTACCATGTTTTTTTGAATGGTCTCTACTAGAATTGACCCAGGCTTCGCTGCTTGGGAAGAATTCTGGGCTTTGGCTCTGGGTGAAAAAGACCATAGCCAAAAATTATGTAAGAACATCTGAAGAGCTGATAAAGGATGTTTTTCTAAGTCATGCAACATGTATGGTTAAATTTCTACATTCTTGATAACATTCACAAAGCTCAACATTTAAAATTCACAATTTGGGCCGGGGATTTAGCTCAGTGGTTCCACCACCTGCCTCGCAAGTGGAAGGACCCAAGTTCAATCCCCAGTACCAAAAAAACAAAAAACAAAAATAAAATTCACAATTTGTAGGAACTAGGAAAATATGATCCATTCTCAAGTGAAAGACAACCTATGAAGATTAAGCCTGATGTTAGCCTGAAGTTGGATTCAAACTCCAAAGTCTATTTCAGGGTGCCAGCTCAAATGTCAGTTCAGGTCATATATCTTCAGCTGGGCTGTTAACGGATTTTCCTGTGCACACCTGGTTTGGAGGTTAGCCAGAAATGTGGGCAGAGTTTAGGTACATAATTTGGAACTCCCCATGTCTGGCTCTCTACTTTCTTTCCAGCATCTTTGGCTGCTCTGAATTACATCCTCTGTTGTGAGTGTTTTCCACCCCCACCCCCTCCCCCAGAAAGAGGACAGACTCCCTCTTGGTGTTTTAGCTGCCTCTTATGTACTGTTTGGTGTGCCCTCAGGTTAGAAGCTACAAAAATAGGGGATATAACCTACTGCCATTCTTCCTACTTTTATTCACTCTCCAGTGGCTTCTGATCATTGCTCATTTGTTCTGTTTTGTTGTCTACTGTTTGTTATTTTCTGCTAGTGATTCAAACCCAACAAAAGAGTTTTCATGGGAATTTAATTAATAATCATCAAATGAAGGAGAAAAGGGAGAAGTGGCAGAGACACCTGGTTATTCCCATCAGGGAGGAGCATGTGTCAGATACTAGCCTACTTCCAAAAGTAAACATAGAAACTAGGCAAAACACATAACAACTGTTTGTAATACATTGGAAAATACAGTCAGAAGCCAAAAGGCACAAAGCTTGAGCGAGGAAAAGCAAAAGCCAAGCTCCTTGTTCATTCAAGGCCTTCCCCCAGAGACAGTTTGCCAATTCATGGTGTAGGGCACTAAAGTCCACAAAGCAAATGCCAGCAACAATTGGTTAAGGAGGCAAAAGTGCGAGTTCAAGATCATCAGTTACTATGATTGAAGGGGGGAAATTCAAGGGAAGAAGGAACCTCTGAGAAATGAATTCAAATTCTCCATGGATTTTCCTTTCAGTGTGGTAGCTTCACTTTGATCCATTAGAGGGGTTGCTTTTTTCACTTACATTTCTTTATTAAGTATCAGCAATTCTTTTTCCTTTTCCAACTGCCTCAGCAATTCCAGGTACATCTTTCCATGTGGGGAAAAATGTCATTAGCAAGAGTATTTGTAGTTTATCTCAATATCATCAACAAAAAATATTCTGCTAACATTAACTCCAAATATTCCAAACCTTACATGCCAAAGTGTACACAAAGTAGGAAGGTGTTCTAATAAAAAATTAGGAGAGTCTAGTGACCAGGATGAATGCACATCAACAAAAATTGTAGACTCTGCTCATATTCTGGACCCAGCTCTGACATATACTGTGTTCCCTAGAGCATGTTACCCAACTCCCAGTCTCACTGTCCTCTTCATCATAACAATCATAACCTCATTGAGTTACTGGAAAAATTGATTAGTACAGTGCCTGCCACAGTAACAACTGTTTTATTGCTGCTACTGTTGCATAAAAGGCATTTTTTTCCCCAGGGGAAAATCCTAGCGTGATGAGAAACCAAGGATCTCATGGCTGTGGGGAAATTCTGCCTCAACTCTGAAGTGTCTACCCTTATGCAGTGGCTCTGCTCCTCACAAAGCTCATGAATGAGTTGGTAGTCACTCTGCACCTAGGAAAAAGAAAAAAAAATAAAATTAACAATCCTCATTAGTTAAATCAGAACAAGTCTAGGCTCCTCCCTGAAAATCTACCTGGCAAAGAGGACATTTGGCTGGCTACCTAGCAACAACCACCTCACAAAGAGGGGAACAGAGTCTAACTGTGAGCAAAGGAAATGGTTTGCCAGGTTGTCTGTGCTTCTCTGGTGAAACATGTGAAACACTGGGGGATGTTATGAGGCAATTAAGTTTGGGGTTCAACAATGGTACATGGGTTAGAGGACTGTATCACAAATGGTAAGACCAGTACCCTAATAGAAGCTTTCATTCTCTTCACCTCCGTGTGAATCATAAGTCACTTGCCAGAGGTTTTTGCTCCCCCTGCCTGCCCCTGTTTTGGAGTTTCCCTGGGAAAACCTCAGTGGAAGGGACACTGCTCTACCTTGGCTATTTCCTTCTCTTGCAGTTCACAGAGCTCTACTGACTGTTGTAGCTTCACCTAAGGAAGACAATGAATGACAGCCAGATATTAATAACATTCTTCTGTGTGAGGCTAATGTATAATAATCACCCTCCCCAGGCCAACAGCCAGCATGGTAATAAAAGTTCTTATGTGTCAATAAGGACTAAAAGATATAATAGATAATGTGAAATAGGAAGAAAAGGGGCAAAGGGGAAGGAAGTGGGAGGGGTAGGGGAAAGGAAAATTTATGAGAAAAGGAAAAAATGGAAGCAAACTCTTTGAAAATAGGGAGGGGTGGAGGGGTTGAAGGGACGGCAGGGGAATGGGGAAAAATAAGAACCAAGAGAGATTATGTAAAGTTGCAAATTGCCAATGGTGAATGTAACTGTATTGTATACCTAAAATGTACCAATAAAATTAATAAAAAATGTAAAATGTTTTTAAAAACCTCTTATGTGTTGAGAACATACGATAATCTTAGGGTGGGCATGATTATCACTACCATTTAACAGATGAGGAAACAAAGGTACAGAGAAGTGGATAACTTGGTTAAGTCACATCATGGCCAAGCTGAAGTTCAAACTTCAGTAGGCTTACTCCTCAGGCAGGCTAGCCATCCTCCTTCCCCATCCTATGGATGAACTGATACAAGTTCCCTGGATTATTATTCTCATTCAAATGCTGTGGGGTATACATGACCTCTGAATCAGAGAGCAAAACAGAAACATTGCTTTCTTTTTCTAGAGAAAAACATAGAACAGTGGGGTTCTTCTGTGGTGAGTGGGCTTGGCCAAATTAACATATCTTCCACATAAATCTGCCAAGAGCTTTTCAGTAGAGTTCTTCCTCCTATTGGGAGTCTAATTCATTTGTTCAACAATTAATCATTGGGAATCTACTATGTGGCATTTTAAGATACTGGGGTGTAAACAACATAGTTTGAAAAGATTCATGTTCTTAATTGGTTTGCCTTGTGGTAAAGAAAAAAATAATAAAATAGAATTTAAAAAATACAACTTGACCTGTAAGCCAAAGCTTGGGAAAACCAGTTAAACTCATCAATACATATAATTTGGAAATTAGTATTTTCTTTCTACTTGAATGTCTGTATTTGTGTGTCCTCATTTCTATCATAAACTTCTTGAGGGAAGACCTCAGTGGGCATTCAAAAACATGTTTTATTAACTTTGGATGAAAAGGCCTCTTGAGCAGTTCTCTCCACTTGATGGCATTGAACTCATCCCTGTTATTGGCCACATCATAAATGGCCCACATGTCATCAGATTAGGTGGATGCAACAAAGGGCATAGGCTTACCTCTGATAACCACACAGAAATGCTCAGCACCGTGCCTATTAGAGCCCTTGAAAGCAGTTCTTCCCAGCATCTGGAATACTTACATCTCCCAGAAAATCTGTAGATTTGCTATTCTACTCACCTTCAATTCTGCCAAATTCTTCCTCAGGGTTTCTTTAGTAGGGCCAAAATTCTTAAGTCCCCTTGAAATCTGAAAAATCATTCCCCAAACTGTAAACATAGTAGGCCACATACAACACACATGAAAGCCCAGACTCACTGAGAGAGAAATAGGGCAAATAATTCCTTTCACATAGCATCCAAAAAACTGAAATACCTAGGAATCAACCTAACAAAAGAAATCAAAGAACTCTTCTCTGAAAATTATGGCACTCTGAAAAGAGAGATTGAAGATGATATCAGAAAATGGACAGACATCCCCTGCTCCTGGGTAGGAAGGATTAATATA